AGAGATTAAACAGCTACACTAGCAGTGATGTACCTGCCACGCAAAAATGGAACAGTCCAGCGTATTAATGACACGAGCTGGGGAGAAACCCCTGGAGCTTGAGAGTAAAGAGTTACCTTACCAATGGCCATTCACAGATTGCATATGTTACTATACACTAAAGAGTTTTTTAGATAGAACTATAGTAAGCAATAATATAATAATATATATAATATAATATAATATAATATAACAATACCTAACACATAATAATAATAATTCAAGAAAGCATCATCATGCCAACCTTGGTCGACGAAAAAATAAATAAAATAAAAATAATGTAGAGCCTCACCTCAACAGCGACTCCTCGTTGAGCTCAGAGTTGAGGGACTCGGGGCCGCTGGGCGGGGGGAAGGATCCGACGAGCTCCAGCATGCAGGAGAGAGCACCCTCTGCTGCGTCTCTCACGCGCATCGACGCCGGCTTCAACTCCTTGTCTCCCTTGTAGACGGGAGGGTCGTTGTCTGCTTTTGGTTCCTGACCAGAACAAGGGGTGATTTGTGCTTCTACCGCGCAGGAGGATATTTTGGTTTCAGGAAGAGGAGGTTATTGTTGGTTCAGAAGGAAGAGGATATTTTGGTCCAGGAAGAGGAGGAGGATATTGTGGTTCAGCGCATGGATGAGCGGATATTGGCTTCAGGAGGAGGAGGATATATTTTGGTTCAGAGAGGAGATAGTTTGGTTTCAGGAGGAGGAGGCGATATTTTGCGTTCATGAGGAGGAGGGATATTTTGCGTTCAGGAGCGAGGAATATTTTTGTGTTCATGGAGGAGGAGGATATTTTGGCTTCAGGACGGAGGATATTTTGGTTCAGCGAGGAGGATATTTTGTTCAGGAGCGATATTTGTTGGTTCAGGAAGAGGATATTGTGGTTCAGGCAGCGAGGAGGAAGATATTTTGGTCAGAGAGAGGGGCATATTTTGGTTCAGGAGGAGCGAGGATATTTTGAGTTCAGGAGGAGATATTTTGGGTTCAGAAGGAGGAGGATATTTTGCCGCTTCAGGGGAGGAGGGATATTTTTGGTATCAGGAAGAGGAGCGATATTTTGCGCTTCAGGAGGGGAGGATATTCTTGGGTTCAGGAGGAGTGGAGCCGATATTGATGGTTTCAGGAGGGGAGGAGGATATTTTGGCTTCAGGAGGAGGAGGATATTTGTTGTTCAGGAGGAGAAGATATTTTGTTTCAGGAGGATATTGTGGTTCCAGGAGGAAGAGGATATTTTTTGGTTCAGGAGGATATTTTGGTTCAGGAGGAGGGACATTTTGGTT